GTTTAATGTTTATCAGTTCATTACAGAAAATAATGAACTTTATCACAATATGCTAATTCTTTGAGAAGGATATCAGCTGAAAAAATCATGTTTGAGTGTAAATGCAGTTTTCAAAAAATTCCCTGCTCAAAAGTTCTTGTCTCTTGCACTGATTTCTTCTTTTAACATTGTGAAGCTCTACTTAGAACTTTCTTAAGATCCAATAGTGCAAAATGCAAATTCTTGCACTTTTTTGACTGGTCTTAAGATTTTGATCAGGAGTGTATCTTTACCTCATCAGTGCAAGCACCAAACCTCCTGATGAGCATATTAGCCTGTCCATACAGCAGGCGACACTGCCTGTAAATATCATCATCATCAGTCAGGTCTTCAGTGACAAAATGCCCCAGATATTTGACTTTATTATGCACAGTCAGAGTATTTCCAAATAATAAAAACTGAGGAAATCTCACATTTTTGTCATCCTTAGTCCTGCTGATCATGACAACACTTTTACTGGCATTATATAGTATATCATGTTCCATGCCATACTGGGAACAAATATTTAAAAGTTCTTGGGAGTCCAGCACTACTGGGACTGAATACAAGATCTGMATGCATCAAATGATTTACAAGGGTAGAACCAATAGCACAACCAGTTTTACATGCATTTAGTCTCTGTGACAGATCATCCATAAAAAGATTAAAAAGAGCAGCAGATTTAATCCCACCTTGCCGCACACCATTTCTGACCCCAAATGAGGCTGACACATTACCTCCCCATCTCACCTGCATCACCTGGTGAGAATACCAATAAGCTAATATTCTCACCGTGTGCCTGGGGATGCCTCGCTGATACATCGTAACAAATTGCTTATTATGATTTATGCGATCAAATGCCTTTGGTGCATCAACAAAACACATAAGAACAGAAGAGTTTTGGCTCTTATGTTTCCCTATTATTTCTTTCAAAGCAAAAATACATAAATCTGTGCCATGTTTCGTTTTAAATCCAAACTGATTATCGGAAACATTAATTGAGCCTTGAATCCTATTTAACAAGATCTTTTCCAAAACCTTGAACAAAATACTTGCTAACGCAACAGGCCGGTAGGTATCCATACCAGCTCTGTCCTTAATTACAGGGACCAAAATGATATTCTTTCATTCTCCACCAGATGAAAGTTACGACTTAAATAGTACATGAACCTGCTTTGTTAAAAATGATTTCTAGAAACTATCATACTAATAACTACAACAGTTAATTTGTGGGGGGTTTTTCTCTTTTCTCATTTGAGTTTTATTTTGAAGCCTGGCGATGAATGATGACATCATCACCAATGGACGGTGTTGTTCTGGAAATGCGGGAACCTGTTGTTTTTATATTTTGTTCGTTTTAATAGTTTTAAGTCTATTTACACCCCACGAATTTAAAATGTAAGTAACGAGACACATTTTGAGATTATTTTTGTTGGTGAAGCGACACTGGACGGTTCGTTATTTAGCAGCAAGTCGTGTTAGCAGTGCAGGCTAAACGTAATAAATTCGGTTTCATTCGTGTTTTGTTCTTTTAAAATATTGTTTGTGTTGTATTTATCAGGGCTGACTACTGGAAGTCACAACCAAGGAAGTTCTGTCAGTACTGTAAGTGCTGGATAGCGGACAACAAACCTGTGAGTGCGTCARAAACATGCGAGTTCGTTCAGATAATTCGTGCTAAAATATAACCTCRTGTTTTGTTGTTGCAGAGCGTCGAGTTTCATGAGAGAGGGAAGAATCACAAAGAAAATGTGGCTGCTAAAATTTCAGAGGTACGAACATTACTTTGACTTAAATTCATAACTAGTTAAAAGAACACTCTCCCTAT